AGGGGGGGGGGTGATGAGGGCCTGCTTTGGATAGCTGGATGTGGCACATTCTTTTTTTTTTTTTTTTTACCAGATACCAGACGGTAAAATGTGTACTCTTTTGTTTACATTTGACTAACTAAGGCTTCCTCTGAAGTCAGTCGCGTCACATTTCCTCGCCGTTCCCCGTCAACCCCCAAAAAAACTAAAGCTGATCACAGATCTGGACTTTGAGTCAAGTTACGGAGTGATGATCAGAGCTCCGCTTAAATGCTGGATTAAAATGTGATGAGATGCCTCTGGAGCACAAGCAAAGAACCGAGATGAGAACTGTTTGAGGAGATGCTGTAACCTAAGTGATGATTCGCTTTTAAATACCTTCAATAACACAATTAACATTCATTTTCAATATTTAGTCAATTTTTTTTGTTGTAAACAATGAGCTGGATTTGGTGCTGAAATGAATAAATAATAAAAGGAATGAAAACAGACGGGAAAGTAAAGGGAGTGTAAGGTATTGGGAGGTCAGGATGCCTGTATGAGGCCTTATACTTCTCTTAAATGTGAAAATGTTTGGATCTGAGATCAAATCTTATTCAGAACGGTTATAAAGAAAAGTATTTTCACAGGTTTGACAGTGTGCAGGAGTCTGTTTGCAACTTTTGACCAGCTTCTGCAAAGATGACTGAAAGTGCACAGAGAGTAAAAACAAACAGGCTGACTTTAGCTGAAGTCGAGGCCTCCCCGGTGCAGGAGCAGAGCTCCAGACGCAGCTGCAGGCTGTGCCTTACAGGCAGAGCCTTGCAGCTGATCTCTGTACACCGTGTTCCCGGCCTCGGAAACTTTAGCCGCCCTCACAGGCTAATGACGAGTGAAATACAATACCCACAAGTCACTGGGTTCTCCTGAGCCGCAGCTTCTTACAAGCCAACCTGAATGACTTGAAGTGGGGACAAAAAAAAAAGAAAAGGCAGCACACGGGGTCTCGGACAAACTAAGCTAGCAGGTTTCAGTTTTGTCTCGACCTTCTGTTGTCGCGGGAAAACAACAGAAACAAAAATGAAACCCGGGCAGTGACAGCTAATCCTGTCTACGGGCGTGAAAGAAAACAGAAGAAGAAGAAGAAGAGAGAGAGTTTGGAGAGGAGCCGGTGGCTGTCACTGGCTGTTACTTACATGCAGAGAGGCCGTTCAGTGGGGGAAAGCCAGAGAGATGGACAGGAAGGGGGAGGGGGGGGGGGTCATAACATGGTTACAACAGCAGAATTTACAACAGG